TACTGCCTTTTGGTGTGAAAATGCATTGTCTTGTCCCCTGCTTGGCTGGCTTATTTTATTCCGTCTTCTTCTAGTTTTAGTTAATTTGAGGGCTTGATGCTTTTCAGTTTTCTGGTTTCACTATTGTCTCCCCTCTTCTTGGTGTAGGGGCAAAAGCAACCCTTCCATTTCATCCGCAACTTATTTTCTTGTTAAATATAATATGATAAAAAGTGTCCCACGTGATTGTCAACGTGAGCATAGCTCAATCGTGATTGACATATACTGTGAGATCCCACATCGGTTGGGGAGGAGAACGAAGCATCCTTTGTAACAGTGTGGAAACCTTTTCCTAGTAGACACGTTTTAAGGGAAAGCCCAAAGAGGACAATATCTGCTAGCAAAGGGCTTGGGTCATTACAAATGGTATCAGAGTCTTCGGACGATGTGCCAGTTAGGAGGCTGAGCTTCAAAGGGGGGTGGACACGAGGCGGTGTGCCAACAAGGATGCTAGGCCTCGAAAGAGGGTGGATTGGGGGGTCCCACATCGATCTGAGAGAGAGCGAGGATACTGGGCCCCGAAGGGGGTGGATTGTTGTGAGATCCCACATTGGTTGGGGAGGAGAACGAAGCATCCTTTATAAGGGTGTGGAAATCTCTCCCTAACAGACGTGTTTTAAAAACCTTGAGGGGAGGCCCGGAAGGGAAAGTCCAAAGAGAACGATATCTGCTAACGGTGGACTTGGACCGTTACATATACTCTTTTACTCGAAGTTGGAGGATTAAATCTTCATACCCCAAAACAAATGTCGTACTAAGAAAAAGTGTTAGTCTGTACATGTTGAAATTTTCATTTATAGATTTATAGATTTATTTTATGTGGCTATTTGTAGGTGGCGTTCGCTGTCTTACCATCCTAAATGTTATCTTTGCCATCATATTTGGCCTCTTGGCACTATTTCTTGGTTCAAGTCTTCTCACCTTGGGTGGCAGCTGCTCTGTGCCCCTGTTTTGGTGCTATGAGATCTCATCATGGGGTCTAGTTATTCTCTATGGAGGAACTGCCTTTTTCTTAAGACGAAAAGCAGCTACAATTCTCGGTGAGGGAGACCTCGGTGGAAGAAACCTCGGCCTGGAAATGTTGGTAGCAAATCCTTTGGAAATCTCCCCGGATGTCGAAAGGCGAGTCAATGAAGGATTCAAAGCTTGGATGGGATCTTCTCTCTTATCCTCTGATGAAGAAGATGAACCCGATAGCTATGATGAAGTAGCATCCCATACGAACCATGCTAACTCAAACAGGCACATTGTGTGATAAAATTTTCCTTCGATACAGGAAACGACAGGTAAATTTCGGTTCGTTGAGAATCCGTTGCAGCCATATAAAGATATACTCGATACCGACGGGGATTGGAGGGAGGGCTGTTTTTGTTGAGATTTGGTTTCATCATCTGTTTCCATAATCTTGATAACTTGTGAATAGTCTACAGAATTGCTCGATTCTCTCCTTGCAGCACTCTTTTGAGGAGCAGAGTGATGAAAGAACTTGTTGAAATTTTCTCCTTTTAGGTTTTATTTAACTTTTCTCTGTAACCATCTTTTTATGGCTTTGTTTCTATCGCTCAGGACCTTTCCTAACTCCATTAAAAAAATTATTTTTCTTTTTTAATCTCATCCCTTAAAAGATTATTTTTATCATAATGTATTCCATTAATGCTTTGATGCTTCAGAATTTATTTAAAAAACCCGTGAGCATTCCTGAGTCGACTGTCCCTTGAAGACATGGTCGAGAAGTACCATGCATGGTTGTTCCCCGTCCTTTCTTTCTCTTGCTCTCACTCAACAAGTTTTGGCTCTTGATAGACTAAAGAAATTGCTTCTCTGGGAAAAGAAGTTCACGACCTGTAGGCTTTCTACCTCCACGTGGCGTTGCTTTGTTGGGCTTTTGCCCATTGCGGAAAATTTTCCATTGCTGTCTTTCGTAGGAGTTTGGGCTGTGTCTTAGTCTTGGAGTGGGTGATTATCCTCTCGAACCAAAGTGTATAGTTTTTTGAACCAAAGTGTGTTGTTTTTTTTAGCTCTTTCACGAGATTCACCAAATTTAATTAGAAAAATTGGCATTTTCTAAGCTTTAAAATTGAAATTACAAATTTAATATATGTATATAATCAAAATTAAAATCATAGTATGAATTATATGAGTATTATTTTAATACATTTTCGGAAGTTTGAAATAAACTGAGATATTTTCGCTAAAAGAAAATTTCAGATGGGCGTCAGGTTAAAAAAAGTGAGTATAAAAGGCGTGTTTTAACTTGAGATGAACTGCCGTTTCCGAACCGTTGTGAGTGTGGGTTGTCAAAAGACGGAGAGTATTCGGAACGCATTGGTGGAAACGGGAGGATCTCTGATGGACGTTTTCACAAGAGTTCGTCTCTACTTCTCTCGATGCAGATTTCTGGAATTTTTGCAGTTTCAATTTCAATCTCTGCTTTCTTTGTTCGTACGAGTTCATCTTCGTGATGCAGGTTTGCATTATTTCGCTATCTCTAAATCTGATCAAATATGTCTCCTCTGCTCGATTATGAACACACTCATCGAATAGGACTATAGGAGTTTAGATTTTTTTTTTTTTTTTTCCTTTTCTTCTTACCTAAATCGTTTTTGTTTTCCCTTTCCTGTCTCGGTTCTTGATTTATTTTCCTATTTTCAACTTCGAATCAGTGGAAATTGAAAAAATAAGTGAGATAATGTGGATTTCTTGTGCCTTAAATTTGATGGAAGACGATCGTAGTCATCTTTCTTTATTATTCTACCAAGATTATTGAGTACATGATCCTTATCGGATTGATTTCTCTGTTCTTTTCTCCGGTTCTAGCTGCTTGATCTAAAGTTTGCCTCATCTGAAAACAACAATAAGACGGCAGAAAGCGGAAAGGTTTTTTACTGTATATTTAGGTGGATTCTCTCGATATTCTCTCTTCTAATCGTTACTAGTTTCGTTAATCCGAATGTAGAAGAAGAGGCAAAATGTTAGTCAAAAACAGTTTATGAGATGCGAATTTTCCAGAATTAATACAACTTCTACAGCTCTTTCGATTTCTCCATGAAATCATAACTGTTCTCTTTTGCGGTATACTACACGAATTTATCACAACTAATTCACTTTTTGTAGTTCGCTAATAGGTTTTCATTTTTACTACCGGCGGTCGTTTATGACATATCTCATTGTCTGGATCCAATTGACCTCAATTTTGGTGGCATTACTTGCAAGAAGGTAAGCCTTATAAACTAAATGATATAGCTATATTTGTAATTCTATCAAATGTGATTATAATGCAGCAACAGCCATTCGAAATTTCAGCTAAAGGAAACGAACTGAAAGTCATACTCCGGCATGGCTTCCCGGTGGAGAATTGGTGAAAATTTAACAGGTAATGAACTTCAACTAAGTATTTTTCCTTTTTACACTTTTTTTATGATATGAACAATTATTTATTTCTTTGGCCATAAGCCTCAAAATCTTTTTTTTTTTTTTTTTTTGCTAAATAATAATAATAAAAAAAAAACTACAAAATATGAAATATCATTGTAAAAAAGAAAGATAAAGTTGAAAAGTGTTGTATTAATAAAAACTACAAAATATGAATTTTTTTTTATAACCTTGTTTGCTTCAATTTTATTCTTAGATATGTTGTATTAATCAAAAAGATTGCTAAAAACCTTTAACTTACTGACTTTTTAACATTTTATTTGATTGTTTTATCCCACAGTTAACCTAAACAACTTAGATATAAACACTCAATAAGTTTGAAATGGTTAAGAAAAGTTATTTTATAAATTCAAACTTAAAACGTCTAATATGCATTTAATTACATGAATGTCATCTTCTATGAAGTTGATTTGATAGATTAAATGAGTATGGTACGATGTCATTTATAAATTCATGGAATTGATCAATTTCAAACATATAAAAATGTGATTTCTTCGTAGATGGAATCTAGAGCTACTGAAATTTAACTTCTTTTTTTTTTTTTACTATTTAATTCTGAATATCTATATCCAATGAATTGACTTTTGTATAAAATAGAAAATCTAGTTTAACCACAAGTGAACTGATTCCCTTATATTGAATTCTTCTTATATTGAATTCTTGAATTTTCTCTTGTAATGTTGTAATGTTGAAATCTCTGATAAGCTATAAAAAAGTAATCCTCTTACAAAGAATTTAGGTTATTTTATTAAAAAAAATGTCTAAATTTAAATTAAATTAACAGTTTAGTTATTAAATTTTTGGAGTCTTTTATCTTAAGGATATTTTAAAGTGTAATAGGTTTTATTTCAATTTTGCCTCTTCTAATAATTTTTTAATCTTTTAATTGTGTCTAAAAGAAATTTAAAGTTTTAAAGTGTCTAATACATATTTAAATTTTTTAATTTGTCTCTAAATCTTCTAACCTTTCGATACAATATTTAGTGAGACTAAAAGATTAATTAGACACAAAATTAAACCTCTTTTGTGTAATTGATAAGCTTGATGTACTCCATGATTAATTTGATAAGAGAGGACCTGATGACTGGTACTTACGGAGAAGGAGCTGAATTCCTATGGGCACCAACAAGGTGAGCAAAGAGTTGCAATAATGGGGTCCGAAAGTCATCTTAAGAGGTACGAGCACAAAATTTAGCTATGTGACAATATTAAACAAAACTACCATCGTTGAAATATATGACACATGAAAGGGCTAAATGTGCAATTAAAAGTCAACATTATTTTTTTATCTTCAAATTTAAAAATCTCTGACATTGAAAATAGTTTTTCCGAGAAGGCATACACATGTTTTTAAATTTTGAATTTGTCCAAAAAAAAAACTCAAAATTGAAAGCCCAAAAACATGTTAGATACTACCCAAAAAATTTTAGTTTATGGACTTATTAATTTTGAATTGAAAGCCCAAAAACATGTTAGATACTACCCGAAAAGTTTTAGTTTATGGACTTATTAATTTTGAAGTGGGTTACTTCGCTGAATTGTAAACATATATTTTTATCTATGTTATGTAATAAAGAATACAATATGTTTGTCCTTTCCCCGTTTAAAAGACACATACAAACACAAATCATAAACAACAACATACATTTGATGGAATAAATAAGCCTTTTGAAATTTCTATCTGCAGCCCTTTAGTAAGTAAGAAGAGGGGCTCGAGAAGCTCCTAGCCGTTGCCGTAGAGGATTTTCCGTTTTCTGTCGCTTTGCCAGGTGTCCCACATTCGCTGAAGTCCAGAATCCGTCGCTCCGTCTGCACAAATTCGGGGTTACTCCGTCTTTGGTAATGTCAAATTTATTCCTCATTTAAAGTAATAATTTTGCACAAAATTTATCACAACCTTCTGTTTCTTAATTCTACGACACGATTTTCTAAAATTATTAAAAAAAAAAATTTACCAGGAGACATTTTATACTCTCGCACACATACATACCGATAGAAAAAACAAAAAATTAAAAAAAAAACATTTATTTTTAGAAGAATTTATTCAATATGTCACTTTTGAGAACTAATTTTATAAACAGTTGACCACAAGTAAAGATTTAAAGATTTCAAAAGCATCTGTACAAAGGTAAAAGCTATAAATAAAATTTTTAATTGAAATGATAAAATGAATTGAGGAAAAAAATATTTTTAAATTTCATTACTTTTATGTTTTTAGGAAAATTACATAACACAAGGTTCTTCAAATATGTCAGGGCAAGTACTAATTTCTATGTTCTTTTTAATTTTAGTTTGACAATTACAGAAATGAAAATCAAACTATCAACTTAGAGGTACGTTTTGTTAAGTCTTATTTGTAAATTTGTTAGATTTGTAAATTATTTGTATATTTGAAAACGTGAACTATAAATGTAATAGCTAATTGTATGTTTTTTGGTTTCTGATTTAGTCTTATTTTAAAACATTTCAATCTAAAAGCTAAGACAAAAATTAAAATTTTTACTCATTTCTTTTTGATAACTATTTTGGTTTTATTATAACTAAGCTTAAAAAAGTACAGATAAATTCTATATGAAATTTCGAAAACAAAATAAAAATTTTAAAAGCTGGCGATTTGAAACTAAATTTTTAGGCAAATAATAAAAATGAAAATAAAATTTTAAAACTATTTTTTTTAGGTTGTCAAAACTTTAGATTTTAATTTTTAAAGTACAATAAATAAACTTGTTTTGAAAATTTGTCTTGGTTTTTTAAAATCTTTTTACAAAATAGGTAAGAAAGCCAAAACAAACAAAATGTCTTGGTTTAAACTTCGCTTTTGAAAAATAGAAAGAAAAAATTATTAACATTTTTGAGAACTTAGAAACTCTCTCCTACATTGCTAAATTTCTATTTTGTCATGAAAATTTATCATTAACTAATTTGTAAACATCTAAATTAATTGAAAATTTAAAATAATAGGCAGAATGGGCTGATAAATGAGAGAGAGAACGTACCATAATATCCAGCGTCAAAGTGGAACGGACCCCTTGTAGTGAGTTGCTTAAATGACTCTTTTCCTTGTTCTGGTTCTCATATTTCCCACGTCTTCCTTTCAATAAGGATTGTGGCGTTTCATTTCCCAGAACCTCCTGAGCATTCGCACACGCAGCGGCAGTGTGCTCGCCTACCTGTTTCATTAGCCCAATTGCATCGTAGCTCCTATCGCCTGGGCTCATCAAGTATCCAACTTCCTGCAAACACATTCCAAACATAAAATAGGAGACTCTTAAAACAAATAAAAATATGAGTGTATCAAATATAAGTCTTTAAATGGTTAAAAATGAGTTTTTGAAATCATTTTTAATTTTGTGTCTAACAAATTTTTTTATCTATTCATTAATTTTATAAAATGAATAGGTTTCTGATCATTTGAGCACGTAGAGGACATCTATAATATATTAGGCTAGTTAGATTTAAGAACCTGTTCGACATTTTTGGACATAAAAGTTGAAATCCAAAACCCGTAATTATGAAAAATTCAAAACTAATTTTGTAATTTAAGAAAAAATAATAATAATACAATAGTGATACCTCCATTGGTACATCAGTGTCCATTCTTGAACCAAATAGAAAAGAGTTGATGAACCAGGGAGACTTCCATGCTGAAGGAGATTCAATGCTCCTATTGAATGGAGTTCCACCGAATCTAGAAACAAACATCGTCAACTGAGAGGCCATATAGTAAACTCCAACTTAAAACGCCATGGATAAAAGGATTTATGCAAGATGGCATCATAAAGTATAATTGTTTTGAAAGATGAAGCAATTAAAACTGTTCTAAAGTAAATCTTACATGGTTGCGGGTTCAATAGAGGACTCCTTCGAGGCATTATCACCAATAACCTCAGGGGGCACCGTTGCGGTTGGAGGACGGCTTCCGTGGCTCGTTCCGGCAACAGAACAGTTTGCAACTGCACAATGGTCGTTAGAGAATTTCGGGAACTCTTGATCTTGTAAAGCTGTTGAGGTTCTACTACACGGAATTTCAGAAATTTCGTCATTTGAATCACATTCAACAAGAATACGTGAAGGCTGTTGGACCTGCGTAATGGGATTTGAAGGGTGACTCTCTTGTGGTGATTTTATGAGTCAATCAAAGATAATTTGAGAAGAAAACATAGAACACAACTCACTATTTGGCCAACCAGTTCTTGCATTTTGTTCTCCTGGAAACTGCAGCTATCTGGACTGATATTTTCCTTGTCTTCAGAGTTTCTAGAATTGATTGGGTTACTCTGCGATGTTCTACTAATGCCAACATCAATTTCTTGCTTTTTGTCGCATCGTTTCTCGGATAGAGGAGATAAGAGCTCTCTATGGCGTTTCTTCAAAATTGATGGAGTATTAGTGAATGTTTTAGCAGCACTTTTCAGCACAGCAATGGGACTATCATCACGGGACGGTGAGTTCCATGGCTTAAATGGCGTAAGACAGTTCATAGAAGACATCATAAGTTGACGAATACCAAGTGGACTATATTCTTGCTGCATATCACTGGCGGATGGTGCAAGATCACAGCTAAGGAATGGAACATCCAGGCTTGGAAACCGAGGAGGCTCATAACAAAGAGCTCTAAGGTCCTGTTGATCTGAATGAGTATTCTCTCTTCCACTAAATGAAGGAAAACTTTCTGCAGTTTTTGGTTCTGAACTAAAAGTATTTACAGGAACAAGCTTTGATGAATCCTTTGAACCCTGCTGCTTATGGAGTTCTGTGTTCTTTAAACCGTCGTTCGGAGGAGAGTTGGCAGATTCATTGGTGTAGATAAAGCCATTTTGTCCATCACCTACAAGCTCTTGTTCGAGAGATTCAAATAAATGACTGGTTTCACTGGTATATACATAAGTATCATCATGAGCAGAAACCAAGAGAGGAGCTAGAAAACGTTCAGAGCATGAGTTATCCAGAACCTCTGATTGCAATGATAAGTTTCTATTACTTTCTGGCATTTCGGTGCATGATGATCGACACTGCAAAGGATGTGCATATCCACTCGGTTCAACCATGTCTCGGGCATCCGTTGTACTTTCTGAAAGAAAAGATTCATTGTTTATTGCATCTGAAAAAAGGACCCTGCAACATTCATAATCAGATATCAGCATATGTTCAGGTTTATCTGAAGCCCTGTCCATATTTTCGACAGTAGATGCGCTCAATCCAGCAGAAGTTTGATGGGATATATTCTCTGCTTCCTGAGATCCAATTGCTTGAAACTGTGGCAACTCTTGACCTAATTCCAGTGAAGAAATATTTGGCAACTCGTACAAATTATATTGGTTATCTCCAGTTGATGAAGTTCTGCAATCCTGTGACAAATTTTGGTTAGGTGGTTTCGCATAGCAACCCAATTCACGGAGCATTTCAGGAATCGAAAACGTGATGTCATCCAAAGAACCATGATATTGCTCTAGACAATGTGGTGTCGAGTTTGTTTCCTCTTTTATAAGAACATCTTCAGCCAATTGGCATTCCTCTTTCGTGCGTGGAACAGTAGCTGAAGTTTGAGTGACTTCAGATATGTCCTCTGTTTCTGTCCCTCTGAGACAGCTATCATCTATACTGCTCTGCACCCTTGAAGATGAAAGAATGGGTAGGCTTGATTGCAGTGCATGATGATGCAGGGGTTGATACTGTTCAAGTAAACCGGAGGCCAAGTAAGAATCCAACTTCTTTTTCACAGAACTATTCCAGTGGTTCTTTATAGCATTGTCTGTCCTGTTGACAATCAAGTATATATCACTCTGATGGTTATTTCAGCAGTGCTGAAGATGAAATGCACTAAAGCAAAACATTACATCAATGAACATGAAGAATCTCAAAGGGAGTTATAAGCAACATGCAAGTAACAATTCATAACACAGAAGCGCTCTTTGTGAAAGAAATATACTGAAAATCTGAGCATCTATTTGCTAACCTGCCAGGCAAGAATTTCGTTAGCTCTGCCCATCTATTTCCATATATTTGATGAGCACGAATGAGTGCCAACTCCTCTTCCTGTGTCCACGCCTCCTTGTTTATGGCTGGATTTAGGTGATTGTGCCACCTGATTAATTGAAAAGTTTGAGTTAATGTAAAGATTTTACCAAAAAAAGAATGCCTAGACAAAGTTAAGCGATAAACGGGCCCCACAAAACAAATTACTATATATGTAAAACAAGAACTTTAGAGTTAGAACAGAAAGTGAAAAAGACGAAAACAAGGACTTCAGAGTTTAGTAGTGAAACATTCCACCACGGTTAACTTCAGGAAGTAAGAGTAAAGGTGCTTTTAATCATACCTTTCCCTACATTGCTTACCAATACGTCCAGGTAAGTGTTGTGCTATGGTGGACCATTTCTTAGGTCCATACTTTTGCACCAATTCAACAATTGTTTCATCTTCCTAAAACAATTCCCAAAATAAATTAATCAGTTCATGAAAGAAAATTATGCATCAACTGACATGTTTATAAAGAGATAAATACAAACAATAATTACTGTAATGGACAGACAACCTCTTTAGACCATGGACCTTTGACAAGTTCTGGATTCAAAACCTTCTGCCATCTATGTAGACATTGCACATCAGTTCGATCCTTGAAGCATTCCGCTACATACAATTAAATATGAGATTAGGCATCTGGCTTATAGGACATCAAACTGCTAGGATCAATAAAAAGCCATTGAATGGCAAGAAAGAAAGCGTCGATGCAAACGATCATGAGCAGGTATGGTTCGACAAATATCAACTATCAAGATTGAAATATCAATATCCTATAACAATTGCATGCTACAGACGACCCTTGAATTTGCTGAGACTCTGCTTTCTATAACCCTCCAAGCTACAATTCCATGCACAATATCATGAAGTAAACTTTAACGAGCAGGTTTTCTACGTAAGACTAAAATACTATATCAAATACTTTTTAGCTTCCTCATTACTGCTAGTAGTGCAATGAGCAGGTTTTCTTACAAGTAATTAATGGTTCTCTAATATTAGGTAGAGTGACACTTCACTGAAGGATCTAAACAAGTTTGATAACCTCACCAATATGTGAATTCCACAACGTACAAATGATTAATTAGTAAGAGGAGTGGTTAAAGTATAGGCAACAATAATTGTACAAGGAAAAAAAATAACCATTACCAATTTTCTTCCAGTTCTTGCCTTTGAAACGTTGGACAGCCTTCCGCAAGATTTCATCCTAATGAAGAAAGAAGTTTATCATACAGACTAAGATATATAAGGAAGCGAATTTGAACACTGATTAGACAAAGGAATAAGATAAAACTCACTACAGATCGTAAATAACTAATTATGGTATTTAGAGAAGAAGGTTTAGCTCTTCATAGAGATGAAAGGAATGATGAGAATATGAAGAAAACCTAAAACGATTAAGAAAATTTCTTTAGCAAGAAAATAGTTGTAAAGAATCAAAATGTATACATGTTTTTCTGCATCATAACAAAAAGAAGACACTTAAAAGAGGAAAAGGAAAATAGTAGGTTACCTCTTCAGCTGTCCATTGGCCTTTGGTGGAACGTCTTGTAGGGCCGCTTGTCCTTCGGCTAGGAATCGTTCAATCATGAGTACAAATTTGGATAAGTAATATGGCTTTAAACCTCTCAATCAAAGCAAATTATAACACAAGGAGTGTCGATAAACGGACTATAATGACTGGAGAAGAAGAAGTCGCGAAACTAGAAGAGAGAAAGGGAAATTACCTGTGCAGAGCTTGAATACTCCGACCACTGTCGCCAGGCACATCGGAACGAGTACAAACCGGAGGATCACTTTCCATAGTTTTTCCTCAGGCAGTTAAAGCTGCCTAGCCTAACTCCAACTCCACTGCAACTCTCGCCCGAATATTTCCTCCAAATCATTCTACTCTTCCTAAGAAGAGCCAGCAGTTAGTTTTCATTCGAAAATCCGATGGACTGCAGAAACCGAACATATAGGATGGAATTCGTCAGACACAATTCCTGAGGCGTAGTAACAGAAAATATTATAAAATCTCTATATCGGAATCGTCGTCTCAAACCATTACAATCGAAAATCAGGAGTTTCAAATTTCAAAGATGAGCAAGGAACCACAAGACGCCATGGCTTCTAGGTTTCAAAAACAAATTTCCGCCAAGACAAAGTACAGGAGTTTACTCTTACATATTCAAAATCAGAAAGAACCAAATCGTTAAAGCTCCGACAGATACGAATTAGAGCTAAACTAACGAAATGCTCCAGAAATACACTTTCAAACTATCATCTAAATCATAATTGAATCAACAAAACGAAAAGAAGTAGATACAAATCGCCAATTGAACAGAGTTCAAAATCGTAAGTACATCGAACTTGAAAATTCAGTAGAAAGATGAAGATGTTCACTTACAAACTTATAGAAACTTCTTCGCCTACTTCACTAACAAAGAAATGCAGATGAACAAGATGAAGATGTTCAAAACCTCGACCTGGCAATCGATCAGACCTCAAGCACAAGCAGATCCGAGAGAGAAGACGCAATCGAGAGAGAGAGAGAGAGAGAGATCAGAGTGAAGCCAAATTCAAAAACGAAGAGGGCGGTCAGGGAGATTCAAACCCTATGGTTATAAAGTCAATGAAAGTTTTTTTTTGAAATGGTGGACGGTACTCAATATAACGCCTATGAGAGAAATAGCCATTTTTGTACCTAAAATCCAATCGGTTGTTTTCGAAAAGTTCAAGTTCAACGGGCATTTTAATAATTATCTTTCTTTTTTTTCTTTTTCTTTTTCCAATTAAAAAACATTAATATATATTTCTAATTTTGTCCAAACTTTTGAAAAACGTGTGTTCATTACCGTCGCAAAACTATTAATTGTCTCATTATTTAAAGGTTAAACACAAAATTATGCGTCCGTGAAGGGCGATGGTAATAATCTATTTTGTCCTAAAATTTTAAATTTTTTTACTGCATTTGTTAAATTTGAAGTAATATTTTATATAATTTTTATGGTAGAAAAAAGAATAATTACATGATAATAATTGACTTTCTATATTTCTTTCCTTCTTTCTTTTTTTCACGTCAAATATTCAATTTCCATAACACACTAAAAAAAATTACATTCTTAAAATCAAAGAGTCTGGTAGAAAAGAGGGGAAAGCTCTCCGTTCTTGGCTTCCCGCTGATCATCCCTCGCTTTCTTGTTTTTCGTTATCCCCCTTACCGTTCCTGACTTTCTTGTTTTCCGTTATCCCCTTGATCGAGATATCCCCTCTTTTGCTCAAAACATGTCATATTTATGTCTACATATTTGAATTCTTATAATATATAAAAGAAAGTTATTAGCTTATGTCAACAAACATATCACATCAACGAATAATATAGAAGCTCTTAAAAACTTGATTATTGATGTTATTACAACTTAGCAAAATTAATCTAAGAAAAATAATGAAATTTTAATTACTATATTAATTTTAGATGCATAATCATATATATATATATACATATATATATATATATATATATATATTTAAATAGTTGGACACTTTTTTAATACAATAAATATGAAGGTGTTATGTAACACTTTCAGACAGAGAATAAGTAATGCATAGTAATTTTCACTATTATATTTTAAATGTAAACTAAAATATTGATACTTTAGTAAGAAAAATTGGTTTATTTTTCTTCCCAAAGTTACTATATATAAATAAATATATATATATATAACTCGCAAAAATATATATTTTTTAAATAATTTACATTTTATAATAGTTTAGATAAAAGAAATGTAATTTGTAGACATGATGAGTTTATTCACTTCAATCGGGCATTTACTAAAAAAATGGCATACAAATTTAAAAAAGGATTCATTCTTATATATACATTTTCAGATCAAAATTTAGAAATATTTATGAATATTCGAGAAAATCTTTGGTTAGCTTTTTTTATGTTCAACTGATATAGACTAGGAATTTTTTTAATATATATGTATATATATATATATTAAAAATAATTAAAACCTAAACTAAGCATGAGGCTGATAAGTGAAGTAAAAGACCGATAGATCCGGATGCGAAGTGTTTCATTGTAGCAGAGCCGGCGGCCATTAAAGACACAAGCTTTCACCCTTCAAGCATCTCACACCTTCTGTGCTTTATTCGGGCGACCTCGGTCGTTGCCGTTGCAGTGCCCGTGCCCTCTCGACCGAGCATGCTTGCCACCTCCTCTATTGAATTTACCACCCCTAGAGAAAAAAAGCAAGCAGCAGATAACCATGGAAGATTATGTAAGAGACCAAGCGAACATCCATTATCAGTTTTCAGTATAGTTGTTTATAAAGCAAAGAAAAACAAAGCAAACCTTCCACGGTTGCTCTTAAAGTCGCGATGATGCTTTTCTTGATTGCTGCGGAGTAGCCTCCAATACTCCTTCTCAGCCTCACCTGATATCAAAGGAATTTAACCAAAATTGTCAAAGGGACTTATATATATATATTAAACCTAACGAGGCGTGCCGAGTTGGTATTCGTCAAAGATCATGAAAATAATAACTTTACAAGCATCCCTCCTCCCTCCAATTCAATTATACCAAGTTTAAAAGGCTCAATTGGATATGGAAACAAGCAATGAATTGACCATACTAACATTGAATGACGAAAAGACATTCATCAGCATTGATGATTTTAGTTGTGCTTTAGAGAAGCTTTAAAAGAAACTACGCCAAGTGATATTGCTAATAGATATTCTCCTTACAATCATGATTAACAAGAGAAAGAAACCATTGCCAGTAACTATAGACATTACTTTACTTAAGAGAACATTGAAACTTTGTATGGTACCTGATACTGGCTCTAAAGTGGCTATAAAACTCTTCACAACCAGCCCCCCCTGTTCGGCAAGTACTGCAGCCGCACGAGCTTTCTGGGCAGCTTCAGGCTCTTCAAATCTGATATAGCCCGACTCGTCTCCAATCTTAAAATCGATGAACTTGACAATCCGAATCAAAGAAGAGAAGGGGAAAAATAGGAAAACCCAGATGTGTCAGAACAAATTATCTTTATATGAGAACTGAAAGCAGAAAAGTGATACAAACGTCATGAGCATGGATCAAAGTCCAAACAGTCTTTGAACTAGAAAAAGTAGAGAACAAAAAATTTAAGATAAGTGTTATTGAAACATTCTGTTAAGCATAATATATGAAGAAGAATCTATGAGATACCTTGACGCTTCCGAACTTCTGAAAAATAACCTTCAAATCCTCGCGCGAAACCACATTCATGTTGTTTTTGGATTTAGCAGCTGTGGGTTTTTCTTCATCCTCTTCATGTTCATCGACGGTATCATTCGTAGTCCGCTCTTCCACTTCGGGTCTTTCTTCGTTGCCTAAGTCATTTTTCTTATCAGCCTCTCCATTGTTATCATCAGCACTCTTAATCTCTTCATCTTTACTCATATTTGCTTCTTCCCCTATTATCTCCGTTTTCTCAGAGTCGTTCTTTGAGGAATCTAATCTTTCGTCTGGTTTGCATTCGGTCTTATCAGCGGCTACACCATGAGATCCATTTTCCTCAGCAGAACTTCCAGATGACACACTTTTCAATGTAAAGGCGACAATTAAGCCTTTAGGGTAGCTGCAATAACAATGAGTAAGATCATGTGATGTGCAAAAAGGAGGTGTGTATGGCTAAGAATATTGGATCTTGCTACAAGCCTATACCACATACTTTGATTCTGGGGGATTATTATTCTTGCGGTTTGCACTCGAGTTTGCGCGTGAACTTTCGAACTCCTCTGTCTCTTTTGCTCTCTCCGCATCAAAATCCCTCCTGAAATGGAAATATTCTTTACAAACGCAATTGAATGATATGTCAAAGGGAATATTAAATCCATGTTTAAAATTGTCAAAGAAGCTTGGGTAATCAAACACATATATAGCATCAAGGTTCACAAAAAACAGCTCTTAAAAGGCAAAAGTCTTAAGAAAAGGCACATTTTTTTAGCCTCGAGGTTTGCACCTCATAAGAAGATATTAAGGTTTAGATAAACTTCAACGATGGCTAGAAGCAAAAAAGAAAAGAAAAATAACTAATTTTCAACATACAGAAGTAAACTAAGGATATAACCAAAACATAGTATGGAATCTGGCAATTAATCATTTTGCCAGCCTATAAGGCTATAACTATTTTACCATTAAGCCTTTTAAAAAGGTCAGAAGAAAAGGTTAAAGAATACACAAACCCTGTTGATGATTGGCTACAACGTTTAGAATCTACAAACTAATCTAAAGCTAAGATTGCAACAGTTTGTGGATATAAGGTTTTAATATTGTAATTATAATTCTTATAATTCATAATGCATGGTTTTAAAGTTATGACTATTGTTTCTTATTTAAATTGAGGTTTATGACTGATACACCTAGAGGTTCATCGTTTGATTGAGAAGCAAAAGAGTAGGAAGAAAATGTAGATGTGCGTGCTTATTGTATTTCAAAACACACTTACTTTGGTTTCAATTCTAACTTGGCACCAGCATATAGCAAGCTCTCCTTCAAAACTTTTTCTGCATCTTCCTCGGTAGAAAATTCTACCAAGGCAGTTCCACAGAAAACCCGTTTATCTGCAACGTGGCGCGGCAGCCTCACACTGTTGACCTAAAAAACAGTAGGAAAATTCTTACATTCAGCAATATAAGTGAAAATAAATAAATAAATAAATAAATAGGAATCCAACAAAGGGCCGTGATAATGACCCAATTCGAGCCGTTAGAACAGGATTTTGAGTATTATGAAAAACAAAAATAACAAAAGAGTCAGGTTAAGGTCTAAAGATCCAGGAAAATGGGAGGAATCATAGAATTGCATTTCATGTTTTAAAACTTCCACAAATCGTCAGTCAGTGGGATAATATATAACTAGTGCGCAGTTTCCATATTCATTTGAAGCATGATTATTTCAAGCAGATCCGTTACCAGTCTGTCCAAAGTTCGGTTCGTCATCAGGACGATACCGAGATTAAGTGGGAAAGAGTATCACAATCCATGATGCAATTGTGCCCCCAAGAAATTCATCGAGGACGATAACTAGATTAAGTGGGAGATAATATTACAACCTAAGTAGGAAGGGTTTAGGGTTTAGAAGAGAGAGAGCTATTTGGATAATCTAGCTAAAACTAAGGACATTCGGGAGCGAATGATGAAACGAAAACATTGCATTAAGTAATACCAATACCGACAATGACATTGGGAATAAAATATTTACCTTTGCAATTTGATTAAAGAAAGCTTCTACATCTTCAAGCTTGACATCATATTCAAACGGTGATGCAGCTATGGTTTTATCATCCAATTGTTCTATTAACTCTTCAGGCTTTGGGAGTTCAGTAGTTCTACCAATCTTCTTCCCTGGACCATACAAACCCAAACTCAAAATAATGATAATATAGTCCAGAACAATGTGTAAATTGGAATCATATAAAACAGGTAATTATAGAGCATAATCTGAAAGTCTATGAAAACTTACGACATTTAACCTTTTTAATTTGTTAATTTATTTTATTTTCATGATTATGTCGGGATGGATGACACCAACATTTAGACCAGCCTGTCCACAAAATTGAAACCTTAACTTTTACTCCTGCTAAGTAGTTTTCTTCTTCTCTCATGAAATTG